TGTTTTGAAAATATTTGATATTTTTGAAAAAGTCCCAAAATGGGTATCGTTATAAAATGATCGATAAAATCATTTCAATAAAAAACAAAAGACCGAGTAAGTAACAAATCGTTACTATAACCTCTAAATTACATATTTATGTGCGGTATTTCATTATAATATAAAAACCAAACCAAAAATATAATGCTTCAAATATGACAATTCTGTTTCGTTCAACTTACACGCGAATTTCAAATTTGTTCGCTTGTTGTATAGAAACGAAGCACAGAATACGCACTTTTCGCTACCTACGATATCGACTGATATATATAGAATAAAACTAAACTGTCAGGCGTACCAAATATATTTTTAGCACCGAGTGGTGTACGTAAAATTCCAAAATCCCCAAATGGGGATCGTGGCAGCTAATGGGTTAACACAAGGGACTGAAGGTCTAGAAAAGTAAAAAGAAAAGAATAACATCAGGCTCTATTATTAAACGCAAGACAAGTCTTTGGGCTACGACTACCAGATCTTTGCAGAGGCCTTCATAATTATTTCCATAGTCGTTCGAGTATCTTTCGATGATCGAAGTCAGATGGATTCCAACGAAATTGATCGTTTCTGCCCAGTTCTGAAGATTTTTCGAGGCCTTTGGAAGACGAGTATCGCCGATTGCAGCACGCCATGTGAATTTCAAGAAGGAAGTACTTTTCACATGGCTGCTCGCAGCGAACGTGAATTCGAATATGCGCGAGCAAGAATGTGAAAGAAGCTCGACAAAAAGATTCGAAGGAACTATGTTCCTTATGATAGAATGGCATGGATAATATGATATGCTGGTGAAATGTTAAATTCGATTAGGATCATATTGTGTAGAAATGGTTCCTATAATTAAATATTTCTATATCTAAATGTGAAATTTATTATTTCTTGGAATATTTGTTATAATTTTTGTGAAAGCTGTGAATAGATATATTATATTGTAAATGGGGCCTGAGACATTTACAAAATAAATTTATAAATTCGATTAAGATCATAGGGTGTAGAAATGGTTCCTATATCTAAATATTTCTATATTTAAGTGTCAAATTTATTATTTCTTGGAATATTTGTTATAATTTTTGTGAAAGCTGTGAATAGATATATTATATTGTAAATGGGGCCTGAGACATTTATAAAATAAATTTAGAAATTTGTATTAGTGTATTAGTAAATTCAATTAGGATCATAGGGTGTAGAAATGGTTCCTATAATTAAATATTTCTGTATCTAAGTGTCAAATTTATTATTTCTTGGAATATTTGTTATAATTTTTGTGAAAGCTGTGAATAAATATATTATATTGTAAATGGGGCCTGAGACATTTATAAAATAAATTTAGAAATTTGTATTAGTGTATTAGTAAATTCGATTAGGATCATAGGGTGTAGAAATGGTTCCTATATCTAAATATTTCTGTATATAAGTGTCAAATTATTGTAATTTTTGTGGAATGTGTGAATAAGTATATTATTTTGTCAGAAGTGGAAGAATCTTATGAGAATATTTTTCTTCTTTTAATGTCTGTTGTATTGTAAATGGGGCCTGAGACTTTTACAAAATAAATTTAAAAATTCGTACTTGTATAATAGTAAATTCGATTAGGATTATAGCGTTCAGAAATGGTTGCTATATTATATATTAATATAGTGAAACCTAGATTATCCGAACCGGGGATGAATCGAAGAAAATTGTTAAATTTCTGAGAAAAATTCCTACTTTTATTTAATTGAATTCATATTTTATAGAATACTTCAATATAAATAATCATTTTATATATGAAAATAGTATTATTTAATCATTAGAAAAATATAATTACTCGAACAATTATCTATCAAGATTGGTACAAATATTATTAAAATAATTAAACTATCATGTTTACTATTTCTTAGTAATAATTATTATAATTTTTGAGGAAGGTATGAATAAATATATTATTTTATCAGAAATTGTGACATCTTATGGGAATATTTTCCTTTTTTAATGTCTGTCGTATTATAAACGGAGCCTATGACTTCTAGATGATAAATTTATCAAATTCATATCCTGAAAATTTCCTAATTCTATCAGCCTGATGTTCAAATAACAGTGTTCAGATTTTCAAAAAATTTACTTGCATAAGTTTATTGATCAAAAAATGATTTATTTTTATTGTATACTGTCAATGTCTTTATTTATCCACAAATGACATATTTTATTTATAAGTAAGCCATTTCAAATTATTTATTGCTATAAGTTTTTTCATAGATAGATTATTTACTTTCATACGTTTATTTATTCTCAAATCATTTATTTCCATAAGATCAATTAGTTACAATTAATTTCTTTCATAAATTTATTTATCCACAAATCACACCTACAAATTTATTTATTCACAAATTGTTTATTCCTATAAGTTTATTTTTACTGAACAACCATAATTTTCAAAATGACTTTTAAAAATAATATTTGCAACATTTTGCCTATGTTTATATTTTTAAAAGTATGGTTGATATGGCCTTTGTGGTTCCATTGAGTACTATAGCAGTTCAATTACTAATTACTAATTACTAATTATTAGTTCCAATGTACATATACCCAAATAATAAAATCTATTCAAAGTATAGTCTTGCTCAACTAACGATGAATATTATACCAACTATAAAATTACTAGCAATAGCTTATCAAATTTACTATACCATATGTAATCACATTTGGTCGTTTAAATTATCTTATATGGATAATAAATTTTGTTTCTTTCCTAAATTTAGGCAAACCTCACCATTTTTCCATACTAAAACAAAAGATATAGAGATATATATGTGATAAGTATAAAACGGCCTTGCAAAGAATGAGCTACTTGAAGGAAGCAGTAAAAACGTGTGCAGAATATAAAAGAAGACGTATGCTGTTGATATTACTCCTTTCCTCCGTTCTGTGATCAAATTTTCCACGTTTATACCTGCTCTAAACTGCATTTTTTAATAAAAGATTTTATAGCTCTTTATTTATATACATAGGACGAAGATTTTGTTCAAAACAGGGCTTATTTAAATATCCATAATATTTTTTGTAAAATTATTCATTGTTACAAAATATCAATATCATAATTTTTTAATATATCAATATACTATCATATAAAAAATAAAACCAAAATAAATAGAAATAGGAATATATAACAACAGTTAATTTAAATTAAAATTAATTATAAATATTGTAAATACTAATGATTTTGCATCTTACAAGTAAATAAACGAGATTAAAATATTTAATCGTAATTTTACTCGAATTTTACATTGACACATATTTCTTATTTATTATAAAGAATCGAGAAAAGACAAGAAAGATACCTTTTGGCTGTCACACAATAAATTGTTCAATCTGTATTAAGATTAATATTATTATTTATTAGTTTAATAAAAATTAACAATTAGTAGTTAAAATTTATAAATAAAATATTGCCACAAGTATAAATATTCAAAATTGAATTCAAAAATATATCACAATTGTAAAAATCATTTCCTATTTAAATTATATGTAATTAATAAATACAAAATTTCACTACTGTTAAAGTTCTCATAAATAAATTACGACCCAAGTAAAAAGTAATTAAATTAAATAATTTAATACAAATTCATTGTCTTCTCATGAATGATCCTACGATGATCTAACACCAAAAATGATCTCAGTATCAAGACATCGTTCCTGTCAATAGCATTCGAATTATCCAAATTTAATTTTCGAGATTCAATTTTGAAAATAAATTTATTTTATTATCTCAAAATCCTCATTCTCCTTGTATATTTCACGAAGTACCACGAATATTTTCCCAACTAAAAGCAAGATCAAAACGAACCCTGAGAATAACACAAAGTCACTCGAGTCACTTGACCGAAGCACTGTCTGTCTGCCATTCTGAACAGCATAAATCATAAATTTTCCATTAATCACAAACAAAATACATTGCCCTGTGCCTTAGAAGGAACAATCTATCTCGAACTCAAATCAAGGATAAGTTGAAAACAGTTTCTCCGAGCATTGTGTCACACGAGCACCCTCCATGTTTACCAAACTTCATTACGACAGAGCCACTTGCACGGAGACCGATTCTCCGAAGCAATATCACAAAATCCATATGAAATACAAAATACGAAACGAGATACAGATCTCTCGATAGCATTCTATTAATATTCCACCAGAGAAAGAAAGAAAACATCACGCTATCTGCATTTACTGACAAGACATGTCCCAATGCACTCACAGCTAGACTGGCCTGCTATTTACTCAAAAAAGAAAAGGAATATTTTAACAGTGGGTTGGGAAAAAGCTGCAGGGAGCATTACCGTGGATGGCTGATGGAAAAATGTGGCTGGAAACCAGCAGGAACTCGTTAAACCGTGAATTTTTAAGTGACCGGTATCCTCTTTTCTAATTCCTGGACCCCTTTTAACCTCATCCGTGCGGCCCATTAAAAAGTGATGGAGCATTTCACGGAAGCTCAGTCACGCGATACCCAGGGGCGAAGAAAAGTGCGAGACATGTCCTTTGGTGAGGGTTAAACACGGCAATTAATCGCGATTCATCGATCGGGATAAATAAAGAAACGATCGAGAGGATGGACCAGTCCATTAGCTAAAGCCGCGAAGCACCAGTGAACCAAGCCGGACCGAGAGAAAATAAAGGAAAACAGGCAGCTGCTATGGTAACCAAGAAGCCTGCTGTCAGACTGACGAATAATATCGCGCGTTGATCGGCATACGGGATGCGAGGAGAAGATGATGACAGGGCACAAAGGAAATTTTACGAGTGACCGATGAATATAGGATGAGATAGATGGGGTTGTTGGACGGGCAACGCGGAACTTTCCATGGACCATCCTCGAGTATGCTATCCGATCTGTTAGGTGAGAAAACGAGGACGTGAGAATTCAGAGAAAATATGAACGGCTGCCGGAACGAGTGACTATGCTAGGTCGAAAAAGATGGGGTTAATGGACTTACGCGAGAATACTCTTCGACAGGGGCCACCGTTCCATACTGACTTGGTACTTCATGTTCTCGATCTGCTTCTTCAGTGCTTCCTTGTCCATGTTGGCGAGTACACTGGGATCCATGGTTATAGCCGCGCCTCCCTTTTGCCAGATAAGAGCCGAATAGCGCTTGCGCCTCTACGAAAAATCAATAGAACCGACTATGTATGGGGACTCCTGTTATTGGAACACCAAACCTACGTCACAGACTGGCAACAGGAAATTCGATTCTGCGAGGAAAAGTGCACGAACTTTTCCCTCGTCGCGACCTCCGCGAGATCAGAACGGGTCTCGATCTTGCTCCCGTGTGCACGTGACGTTTGGCCCATCGCTTGGGTACCAATCGTCATGTCGCTCTGGCTACTAGATGGCTACTGCTTAGGCACCTGCTCGGTAGTTTCACGGCTCGTTTAGGAGTACTGGTTTGCTACGTACTTTGCTCACGAATCACAATCATCGGTCCTATCAACGGGTTGTTGGACTCCTTCGAGATCCGTGGTCAATGGCTTGGGGAGCTTGAGGTTCAGGGGAGTGGGATGATACGCTGATGGAAGAGCGAGACGGGTTCTTCTTGTAGAGGTCTCGGCTCTTTGTATCCTGGGCTAGGTGACGAGACGCTATTGCTGCGATAGTGGAATTCGATAAATACGAGAACCTCGATTATCCGAATTAATTGGCGCACATAGGCGTCGCAGGGCAGAATTTTTCCTTGCACATTTTTAGAAGGGAATACGTGCTTTCAGAGCTTTATTTTTACGTATCTCTAAATCGAAAGGTGTATAGGATAATGACGAAATATTTATAGTCGAATTTAGGTAAATTAAAACTATAAATTTAGGTAAAAATAGTTGGATTTTGAATTTCCTTAATGCCGATTTTTGGGTAACGTATTTTCTCGCTATTGTGATCAGATTTCCGCCATTTTTAGGTTTTTAATTATGCTCTGCTTGGTTTGCGTAGATACCATTACACATTTTCAAGTATTATACTTGATCCGTGTTAGGCTAAATGGTTACCGATTTTTGCAATAACTGTGTCGAATATATAGAATCACTATGAATTGAAATGTTTACATGCATACTAAAAATATTCGAATATTAGTATATTAATTTAGAAATTATGTTAATATTTAATTCAAAAATTGTATTAAAATAACCGAATAACCGAGGTTCCACTGTAATTATCTTTTGTTTTATACAGGGTGTGCAGGATGTAATAGTATACAATAATAAAAAATGACGTATACAGGGTGTCTCGGAAATTTTTGAAAAATTAACAGAGTTAAAATTTCACGTGATAAAAGGGGTATAAAAGTTTTATTAAAAAGTTACGAGAAAAATATGAAACGCGAAGAACATGGCGAGATTATCTTTCTCGCGACTAGGTTGTTTAATATGGAGATATTTCATCGAGAAGTTAGGTAGAGAAATTAATATTGTCACGTGAGGACAGAAAATCGTGACGAAATTCAGTCAACGATAAATTTAATGATACTTTGATGTCAGATATCGATAAACGTGAGTTAGGTAAGGTTAGGTTAGGTTAGGTTAGGTAGGAACATTTCCAAATGCAAGAACGAGTACAGTCTACTTCGCGTGTCATATTTTTGTTACCACTTTTTAATGAAATATTTATGGATTTTCTCTTACACAAAATTTTAGAGCCATTTTTATTCAAAAATTTCGCTGGTATTGTATGGAAAAAATTTGGAACAAATGCATGGGATGTTCAATACAGGAAGCCACAATAGAGAACAGAATAAAATGATCTCGCATTTAAAAGCGGATAATAAACGCGGAATAAAATTTTTCAATACGAAGCTTCGAAAAAATTTCCTGAAAAAAATTAAATTTAAATATTCAAATTAAATACTTTATGAATACAATATTTTATTATAATTGTAATTAAATGTTATATAAATTATGAGTATAGCTTCACGTGTGTAAGAATTTTGAAATTAAATTTTGTCGAAAACGTAACTTTACGTTAAAAAACTTTATTTTATATTCTGCTAACCTTTTGATTAAAATCACTGCGTTTTTTGTTATACTATAATATACGCGAAATGAGTGTAATTATCGTCATATTTCTGCGTAAATATTAAATATTCTTTCGACTCGAGCGTCCTCGAAATTTATAAAAATTTAATTTAACGTAACGAGCTATTAGACAACTATCACGCGAAACAAATTATTCTGTTTTTTAAATATATACAGAATACATATATATATATAATAATGTTTTATATGTATTTTATATGTATATATAATGTTTTACATATATATGTATTCTGTATATATTTAAAAAACAGAATAATTTGTTTCGCATGATATATAAACTATATAAACAATTTGTTATATAGATTGTTTCCTATAGCTTATTTATAAAGTTTAACCATAAAGTATATAATTAATGTGATAGTAATGCCTAAGATAACTTTCAAGACGAGAATTCGATACTTGAATATTTGTAAATCTTTTTATTTATATATTGCATAGTCTTTATCACTAAAATTTATATCACTAATAATTGGTAATATAGATTCTTTCCTATAGCTTATTTATACAGTTTAACCATAAAGTATGTAATTAATATGATAGCAATGCTTAAGAATATTTTCAAAACGAGAATTCGATACTTGAATATTTGTAAATCTTTTTATTTATATATTGCATAGTCTTTATTACTAAAACTTATATCACTAACAATTGGTAACATAGATTCTTTCCTATAGCTTGCTTATAAAGTTTAACCATAAAGTATGTAACTAATATGATACTAATGCCTAAGAAAATTTTCAAAATAGAAATTCAATATTTAGATATTTGTAAGTCTCATCAATATATTTGCAAACCAACTAACTATTATCGCTAGTTACATATCCAAATTACTTCAATTTCCATTATCTACTCTCTCATTGTATTATAAAACACGTTTCTTTATCACTAAAATATATATATATTTAATATAATTAAAGTAGGTAATTATATATATATATATATATTAATTATATAGGTATACATATAATAAAAATTTGTAATTTCGATTTAACGTCACCGATTTTTAAAAATCAAAAATATGAATATTGAATTCCTGCAAATTATCATTTTTCCATTACCAATAATATATATATATAGGTATATAATAAAAATTTGTAATTTCGATTTAACGTCTTCGATTTTTGAAAATAAAAAATTTGAATATTGAATTCCTGCGAATTATGATTTTTCATTACCAATAATATATATATATATAGGTATACATATAATCAAAATTTGTAATTTCGATTTAACGTCATCGATTTTTAAAAATCAAAAATTTGAATATTGGATTTCTGGGAATTATGATTTTTCCATTATCAATAGTCGTAAAAAAAAAATGTCCAATAATTATTTTTTTCGAAATACTCATTCCTCTGTTCGCTGATGAGCTGTTTTTAAGTACTTTCAATCAAGAACCCTTTGACGCTTCTAGCGGAAGCAACGAAGCTTGAATCTTAACGAGGAGCACATGGAACAAGCACAATGTGCGCACCCATAATAAATTCCTAACGCTCTCTTCTCTTTATCCACGATTTACACGCTTGTTCTTCCCTATCGGTAATGGCTGCTAAATAGGAAAAAGTTCGAATGTGATTGAAAAAAGGTCTAAAAATTGAATGAAAATTTTGATAATATAGTCAATTGTATAATATAGTAAAAAATCGTAGAATATTTATTCCTTTTATCACGATTGTTCGAACTAAGCATTTGAAAATAGCTCTAGAAATCGAATAAAAATTTTGATAATCGTTCGATAAAACAAATAAGAATTTTCTTTTGTAAAATATAGCCAAAAATCGTAGAATACTTATTCCTTTTATCAAGATTGTTCGAACTAAGCATTTGAAAATAGCTCTAGAAATCGAATAAAAATTTTGATAATCGTTCGATAAAACAAATAAGAATTTTCTTTTGTAAAATATAGCCAAAAATCGTAGAATACTTATTCCTTTTATCAAGATTGTTCGAACTAAGCATTTGAAAATAGCTCTAGAAATCGAATAAAAATTTTGATAATCGTTCGATAAAACAAATAAGAATTTTCTTTTGTAAAATATAGCCAAAAATCGTAGAATACTTATTCCTTTTATCAAGATTGTTCGAACTAAGCATTTGAAAATAGCTCTAGAAATCGAATAAAAATTTTGATAATCGTTCGATAAAACAAATAAGAATTTTGTTTTGTAAAATATAGCCAAAAATCGTAGAATACTTATTCTTTTTATCACGGTTAATTACGAATATATATCAGATTTTCTACTAGATATTATAAAATAATCAAATTTCTATAATTTGGAAATTTTAAGGAAAAAGCCATGGATAAATTCGATTTGAAAAATTAAAAAAGAAATTTTAAATACCTGATAATAATTTTGTCAATTGTTAAACAAGAAGGTAATAATTATCATTCCCTGTTCTTGTAATATACTTGAAAATTGTAAGATATTGATTCACTTTTATTATGAACAATATGAATATTGTTTATTCAAATTTTCTACTAGATATTATAAAATAATCGAATTTCTATAATTTGGAAATTTTAAGAAAAAAACCATGAATAAATTCAATTTAAATAGTTTTAAAAAGAAAGTTTAAACACCTGATAATAATTTTGTCAATTGTTAAACAAGAAGGTAATAATTATCATTTCCTGTTCTTGTAATATACTTAAAAATGGTAAGATATTGATTCACTCTTATTATGATCAATATGAATATTGTTTATTCAAATTTTTTATTAGATAAACAATTTATAAAATAATCGAATGTCTATAATTTGAAAATTTCTATAAAATATAATTTTGTTTAAAGATTATAAAAATCTCTAATCATCTAAATACGATTAAACTTAAATTATTTTATCCGTACTACTTGAATTCGGAATAACCTGACAATTGTATATTGAAATTCATCTTAAACCTGAATATTTTGAGAAATTTTCAAATTTTGTTTTCTTGAAATTACTTTTTGAGGTTATTTTAAAAAATAACCTATTTTTAGACCGACATAAATATTTCATGGAGCATTTCATGCGAAGAGTAAATTAACATAATTGCAATTAAATAATTATAATATAATAATATCGCTCGACAAAATT